AAGCTCTGACTCTGCATTCAAAAAGGCTCTGTGCAATACATTTTGATCCATATAGTTATTTTTGTGACTTTTCCCCTCCATAAATTTAGAACAAAGAATGCCCCTTTGGAGCAAAGTGCTTCTTTGACCATGACATTGTCAAGTATATGGACTCTAAGCCTTCCGATATTGGGGAAACCTGTCACATCTACGAAACATTTGGAAAATGCGCCTACGGTTTGTCCTGCCGCTTCGCCAAGGCCCACACTACGCCTGATTTCAAATCCATGGAGAAGGCCGATCTGGTCAAGGTGTATGAAGGCAGGACTATGGTGAAGAACAACATGAGTAAGGAGCTCCAGGGTCGCCTGAGGAAGCGATCGGTGTCCTTCGAAAAGTCAGAAAAGTACCTGAAAACACTCTCAGACAACAAAGATAAAGGAGCACAGCAAGGCAATGGTAAGACGAGTGAAAAGGCTTTTATAAAGAATGCTGCCATCACAAATTTTGCTCATGTTTTTTTTAGGAAGAAATGGATACTGAGTATGTCACTCAAGCCTCTTTTTCACTAGTACCCACTTGCCTCGGCTCGGCTCAACACGGTTTTGGTCGTTTTCCATTATAATTGAGTAACATCTGTTGTGCGTGGGGTCGTTATAGCAACACAGCCAAAAGTCCAGTGATTTATAGCTTGTGACTTTCTATTTTTGTGAAGGGGACGTTCTCATAATTCATCAAGTGTCACCATTGATTGGCTTATTGGTGGTATACAAACTGTTGATGTCACATTTTCAGATCAGCTCACTTGAAACCGCGGCTGAGTACGTACTAAAAAAAAGTACCCAGTACCAGGTATTACCACCTAATGGAAACCCCTAAAACCGTATGGAGCATTTTGGCCGAGTAGGTACTAATGGAGAAGAATTTAGAATAACACTGGTAAATAGCAGTTTACTTATTTACCGATATACTGAGTAAACAGCCACATTACCCATAAGGCAACTTGGCTGCCATCAGGAGCCACAAAGGCTGAAAGCATCTTTTTTTCATTGGTTCCAATAATATGCCACAAACTGATTTAACTGTGTAAAATCTGTGGAGTTATGCTTCAAGAGCTGCTGTTTCATAAAATTACCCCTAATTTTGACCAGCTCACCCAGTTTTAGCAGATTAAATACACTCCTATTCTGTTTCTTTTAACCTGCACATGTGTTGACCTGTTGCTACATACTCATACATGCATTATCAATTCTAGTGTATCTTGATTTGTTCCTTTGTCTCACTCATGGGATCTATGTGCATCTGAATTTTCTGCTGATCCAGCTGGAGAAACACAGCCTGTTTCTACTGAAGTACAGGTAACCTTTTCTACTAACAGCATTCCCTCTTACTGACCACTCTGTCATTGAGCCTTATGTTTATTGCGTGTGTTTTTCATGTTTCTGACTAACTGTAGACCAGCTCAGATAAACAGTCTGCTCCAGTGAAGACCGTCGGCCCGTTGACCGATGCAGATGTCATCAAGCTGCGCCCGTGTGAAAAGAAGCAGGTATATCTCTTCCAGTCGCTTTCCTCCAGAGTTTTCATGTCTGTTTAAACGATAAACAAGATGTTTTAATAAACTGTTCTAATCAGCAGACATCTGATACTCATATATATGTTTAGGGAATAGTTACACGATTTAAATTACAGTCAAATTGCATTGCTTAATGCCTCTTTTTGCCTCTGTTCTTAAGGTGGATTTTCAAGACAAGCTCTATCTCGCCCCTCTAACAACTGTAAGTACCATCACACTGAAATCAGTATTGGAGTTAGTAGTAGTTGTGTTTTTTAATGTATTTCTATCTTTAAATCCAGAAATGTAGCAAGTGCAATTAAATAATGACCTGTAAATGAGGTCTGGATCTGATAAAGCAAGTATTTCTTTAATTTCCTCAGTGTGGAAATCTGCCTTTCCGTCGCGTGTGTAAGCGCTTTGGGGCAGACATCACATGTGGGGAGATGGCCATGTGTACAAACCTGCTGCAGGGGCACCAGTCTGAGTGGGCCCTCCTGAGGAGACACGAAAGTGAAGATGTGTTCGGTATTCAGGTGATGTTTAAAATCTTCTGAAGGATTCAGTCCTATAGAGGGGGTTGGTGGTAAGACGTCTGGATTTGTGCGAGAGTGCAAGGACTGTGATTTTTAAAGCCTGAATTGCATCTCTAGGTGGAGGGCAGTTTCCCCGACACAATGACGAGGTGTGCAGAGCTCATCAACAACAACACTGAAGTTGATTTTGTGGACATCAACTCTGGGTGTCCCATTGATCTCGTATACAACAAGGTAAACTCTTAACTTGCCCCCCCCAAATGCTCAGACTGTGACTTTTTTTTCTTTCATTTCCTAATAGACAAATTGAGACTTCCTATTTTGCAGTCAGATGCATTTTGTGTGTTTATACTACAGCACAAAGAGCACAGATACCAGCATTTGAGAGGAAGTGTTAAACATTAATATGACAGTCACTGACAGATGGCCTTTGTTTTTTTCCCATCAGGGCGGAGGCTGCGGCTTGATGACACGTACCAGAAAATTTGAACGAATAGTCAAAGGAATGAATTATGTAAGTATGACTTTTTGCCTATCGTATGGTAATGATGCAAGAAGGAGAGTTTTGTTGCTCTTGTGGATCATTGCAAAGTTACAGTTCAGTTCAATTTTATTTATATAGCACCCAATCACATAAAACAGTTGTCTCAAGATGCTTTATATTTTAAGCACAGTATTT